TAATGTGATTTACGACCTTCTTGTAATAATAATAAATCTATATGAGTATTACTATTTAGTTTATTTGTTCTTAATGGATGTATAAATTTATCATATTCAACCCCAAATACATTAACACTTATATTATTCTGTGTTTCAAATTTATCTATATCAGATATTTTTACTGGATATTTTATATTTGCCATATTTAACTGACTTTCATAGGGTACATAATTAGAAATCCTTTCAGCATGTTCATTAGAGTTCCTTGGATGTAAAGCTGCTAAAATCGACCAAAGAAAGCATTTATTATCATAATTCCTTATATTTAAAACAGCATGTTTTGATTGAATACTTTTTGGTGTGGGGATATATGACTTTGGAGTTAGGGGTTTATACTTGTAAACGTGCAACTGCCAATATTTAGTATGTTCATATATCCATCCACTGCCTTGGGCTTGATATTTGTGTATGGAAGCATCAATCTTTAAAAGTGCATTTTCAATTTGAGGCTTTAAATCTCTCTTCTCAATAGTTAAGATAGTAAGGCTTCTAAAATCCGCAATACAATCTTTCGCATTAACTAATTTTCCATTTTGATCCATTGAATATTTTATAAATTTGATTCTCCTAACTAACGTCCATTTTATCGGCAGAGGACAAGACTTGAGATTATTTTCAAGTTCAGCTCTAATCGATTCACCAACAAATTTAATCATCGTGTATGGACATTTGTTGCAAGAATTTACATGTCTTCTAAAATGTCCAACAATATTTTTCTTACAAAAACTACAACTCTTGTGACTTTGTAATGTATGTGATTTTAGAGCAATGTTACTATCACAGATTAAATTACAAACTTTACATACATTCATTTGATGAATTACCTTGTAGTGGCGAATCAGGTTACTTTTGGTGGAGAGCGACACAGAGCAGTGTTGACAGGTGGGCCTCATTTTTATATATAACAAAAAAAATTTGTGCCACTTCTATTTATAGACTTTTCGAAAATTTCAAAATTTTGGAAATTTTAAAAATTTTCAGCTAGAAATTAAAAATTACTTCAACAGATCCAAGACTAGCAAGGAGCAAGCCCAAGGGAGTGACATTTTCACCACGTCACCACTAGAGGCAAGAAGCAGGAGCCCGGAGCGTGCCCACGCCATGAGCCGAGTTCGCACATACATGATTTTGAAATAGAAATATAATATATCAACTGGAAAGGGGAATGATAGATGTACTAGCAATTGTGCATGGGGCAGAGGGGAGTGGTTAGGGGGTGAGGGGTGAGGGGGGGGGAGTTGGCCCAAAAACCTCGCACCTCAAAAAACGGCAGCGACAAACTATACTACTATACATACAGGGTGAGTTTTAATTGTCCCCCCCCCCAACTTTTTTCTAAATTTTTTCAAATATCAATCCCAGACCACTTCCAAACATTGTTGGGTAGTAAGTACTTCATTTTGACAAGGTGGCCATTTCCGGCCGCCATCTTGGATCCGCCATATTGGATGCAAAATTTTTTTTTCAAATGTAAAGGTGGGGTTGTGACCCATTATTTCGAACTAAAATTTTACCCTGATTACAATGCCGCAAACCGTTTAAAAAAATCTTGATCCATTCTAAAGTTATGAGGGCTTTTTAAAACTTTATTTTTAGCCCATTTTAACATTGTGCATTTACAAACTAAGACCATAATCTCAAAATAGTGCTAGATAAAGATAAGTATACACTACCAGTAATTGTCGACCTATTTTCACTTGGTTATGACTGATGTATTTTTTTCGGCCGCCATCTTGGATCCGCCATTTTGAAATGTGATAAATTATTTTAAATATGAAGGGGGCGTTGTGACCCATCATTTCGAACTACTTTTTTAAGCTGAACTTAATTCCATGATCCGTTTTTCATTTTCATTTTTTGATTTTGAAATATTGACATTTTTAACAAAAAAATTTCAATATTTCATAAATAAAACTTGATAACAAAAAATGGATTGCGGCATTGTCTTCAGCTTAAAAAAGTAGTTCGAAATGATGGGTCACAACACCCCCTTCATATTTAAAATAATTTATCACATTTCAAAATGGCGGATCCAAGATGGCGACCGAAAAAAATACATCAGTCATAACCAAGTGAAAATAGGTCGACAATTACTGGTAGTGTATACTTATCTTTATCTAGCACTATTTTGAGATTATGGTCTTAGTTTGTAAATGCACAATGTTAAAATGGGCTAAAAATAAAGTTTTAAAAAGCCCTCATAACTTTAGAATGAATGAAGATTTTTTTAAACGGTTTGCGGCATTGTAATCAGGGTAAAAATTTAGTTTGAAATAATGGGTCACAACCCCACCTTTACATTTGAAAAAAAAATTTTGCATCCAATATGGCGGATCCAAGATGGCGGCCGGAAATGGCCACCTTATCAAAATGAAGTACTTACTACCCAACAATGTTTTGAAGTGGTCTGGGATTGATATTTGAAAAAATGTAGAAAAAAGTTGGGGGGGGGGACAATTAAAACTCACCCTGTATACACATACATGGGTCAATAAATGGTTTATTTTTTATTTTTGCTTAATATCAAATATATTTATGGGGAATAACTAAGAAATAAGGTTTGACAATTTTTATAGGGATTTGTAGGCAAAGATCAGGATTTTAGATTTGGTGGCCAAAAATAATCCCCATAAGAATAACATGGGAAAAACGTGTCTAAAGTGGGGTAAAACCGGTAGTTCTCCACTACTCTTTTTAATGCTTTTTCATATCATAGAACCAACTTTTTTAGTTGAAACAGCTGACTAAATTCTTCCCTTTAAATATGAATACTCATAAGGTTAACATGGGGAATTATAGAGCCACTGGGGCGGAGCCCGAAAGGATTTTTGAGATAAGAATATGCCTATATGTTAATCGGGAATGTGAGCCAACATTATGCCAAATTTCAGCCAAATCCGTCCAGTAGTTAATGCGTGATTGAACTTCAAACATACAAACAAACAAACAAACACACAAACTTTCACATTAGAAAGATGAGATTGTGTGTGTGTTTGTTTGTGTGTGTGTGTGTCTGTCTGCTACTCAAACACGCAAAAACTACTGAACCGACTGGGCTCAAATTGCACACACATGAAGCTACAGTTCCGAGGATACATATAGAACTATTTCCGCTTCGATATTGTTCGATATGACATGATGTCACTAGCCCGAATCATAGATAAAACATACTCCCCCAAGTAGATTTCTCATCCTTATGGAACAGCTGAAGACAATTTTATTGTTAGTTCCTGTACGTTTTATGTAGAGGTCGTGTTTTGTTTACAATTTGTTTCCCGTTATTACAGCCATTTAAAACCTCGTTTTACCAAATAATACGATCTAATCATAAACAATAACTTGTCCCCTTATATAACCAAACAGTAAAGCACAAATCAAGAAATTAACCCTAAAATAATAGAAACAAAGTTTCGTCGACACTAGCGTCCATGTGTCACGTACATGAACTAGACACGAAAAACGTGCTTCAAAATTTACAATGGGATGAGAAGTCTACTTGTGTTGGTTAGTCTATGCCCGAATGTAAACATTATTTAACACATTACTTAAATGGAGCTGTCAAACCATATGTTAATGTAATTTCATCAGTTACTCCATTTGTTTATGTTTATGATCTATTATACTGAGTCTGTTCAATCGTAATTCACCTAGTCTGCAGGTTTTCTGCGGCGGGGTATTTAATCTATGTTAATTAGTTTTGTATTATAGTGGAGATACGTACTTTTATGTGTAGTACCATAGACTAACCAACACAAGGGAGTATGTTTTATCTATGGTAGTACTAAGGCATTTACTAATTTACATAAATAACCTACCAGACCTTCTACCAATGGACAAGACCAGCATTATCTTCGCCGACGACACAACCATCCTCTTTCCCACAAAAATTGGCCAGGAATCATCATACATAAAAGAAACAATTGAGCAAGCAATAGAAATTTGTTAAACCCTGGACCTCAAAATTAACAAATCCAAAACTTTAAATGTTAACTTCGCCACCACAAGTAAACAACCTGAACTATCAACCGAAGAAGCATTGATAACAACAGCAACTCATACAACTTTCCTGGGCATAACCATTGATCAACACCTGACCTGGAATAACCACCTGGAAAAACTTGGGAAAAAATTATCATCCTCACTTTTTGCTATACGAAGAATACGCTCTACAACTGATAAAAATACTTCTAAAATAGCCTACTACGCACTCTTCGAATCTCACTTACGCTTCGGAATAGTAGCCTGGGGGACAGCGGCGGATTGTTACATCTACATAATCCAAATTCTTCAAAAAATGGCATTAAGAATCATTGAGAACCTACAACCACAAGAGCATTGTAAACCATACTTCGTTAAAAACAAAATCCTTACCGTTCCAAACCTATACATCCTTGAAGTTGTAAACCTCCTAAAACTAAACCCCCCAAAGCTTAGGGAAAACTGCCACAAATATAGCTTGAGAAACACAAAAACAAACTTCGATATCCAACAACACAGATTGTCAAAAACCAGCAAAATACCCCAAATCATGGGGTCAAAAATCTTTAATGCTCTCCCAGAACATATAAAACAAATCAAATCTCCAAAACCTTTTTTTAAATCACTCAAAGAATATTTAGTCCAAAAACCATTCTACAAATTAGATGAGTTCTTTGAAGAGCACACTGCTCACCACAAAGATAGGCTTTAAAATAAACCCACTTTACACCATACACACACACATTAACACTACAATAACACAACAAAAAAAGAAGATGACGATTCCCTAGTCTCTACGACTACGGAGAAGAGGACCAAGGTAAAAGGTAAAAGGTAAAAGGCAAGGCTAGTAACTTTTACAGTAATGACGACAAAAATATTCACCTTCTCTGTTCTCTAGAAGGCTGTGATCACACAATTGGTTGGTTCGTTAGTGTTAGATCATCTTTGGAGTGGAAAATGAACGACTCTTTGCTTTTTCACTGCGTGTATGTTCATTTTCTTTGGTCTGGCGTTAACCTTTTATGATTTTATTTCTTGTCTTCTGTCCTAAGTATTTTGTGACATAATTTGAATTTTGTTCTGACATATAATTTATTTAAAGTTTATTTTTGTCATACCCTAATTAAAAAGTTAATCTTTTTACGATTAAATAAAAAGTCTGCTATGGAGTTGTCAATTTTCATCCGCCATTGTTGATCTTCGAGGGAATTACATAAATGAAGTGTAAGTTGTAGACTAAATTATACTAGGTCTATGGTTTCATTTCAATTAACTTAACTCACTAGGCTACCTTCCTTAAAAAATAAGGAATCGCACCAGTTTCCTAAATAAAAGGTATTTCTAGAGTTTTAAGTAGCCTATAGGCCTAACTTCTCCCAAATCATATAGGTACTGATTGTAGCCTAGGCCTAGGGGCCTATCTGGATCCTGGAACTTCTCTCAGTAGGCTAGTTAAGTTATGCCTTAGGGACGAGCATCTAGGCTATAGTGGATGTTTTCGAAACATTGATGTTCAATAATTTTCACATTTACGGTAGGCCTAAGTTAGGTTAAAACCCAGTGCAGCCGAGCGAGGGCTAATTAGGGGCTGGGCCACCACCCAGCCGTCCTTATCCCTCAGCCGCCACGAATGTTTGCGGGGAGTATAAATCACATCAACATTAATAAAAATTGGAATTTCTTCTTGTAAAATAAAAGAAATAGGCTATAACTTAAGTTAGACCCAATGCCACTTCAATAACATCATGATCGTCCTCACCTCAACCCTCAACGTCTGCTAACCAACATAGTTAATAATCTCACAGTTGACCTAAAAGTGAAAACTTGCCATACTGTATAGTGCATAGGCCTAATATCACAGTGCCTAAAAGTGAAAATGTGCAAAAGTATGATCTCACAGTGCCTAAAATCAACAACGTGCAATAGTGCATAATTTCATGTATGAGCAACTAATTAGGCCTAATTATATTATATGGTACCATATGTGTAATGAAAGCCCAACAGTAAGAAATTCCATGCTTAGCAAAAATATTTTCTTTAAAGGCCTAACTTAAAGCATAACTTACTGCAGTTAAAGTTATTACTGAATCCAATTGATATTATACTAGGTGAAACCTGTTGATATCGACGGTTGCTTTAAAGGCTTACGACAATTCTTCTAACTGTGATAAAAAGAGTGAAATTATAAAAAATGTGAGCATTTAGCAAGTTTAATGAGTAATAAATAAGTGTAGAAACATTAATGACTATTGTGTTAGTTACAAAATATGGTTGATCATTCAATGATAACATAATATTTCTTATAACGTCTGTCATAGGTGTTATGGTTCCTATGTTAACTGGTTCTTCTTTTTGATGAATAGCCATAACTTATTAAAATGAAGAATGCTTTTAGAAGAATTTTTTTTTTTTTTTTTTTTTAGAAAAATATCTATTTGTTGAGAAGGCATGTTCTTACTTCAAAGGAAGGCCCACCAGCTGTGTAGGCTTAAGTTTAATTTTTCCTTCGTCACGTCAGTCATCATACCGTACTTCTGTGCCTATTCATTCTCACCTCTATATTCAACAATAATAATTTTTTTAGCATCCTTATATATAATACGTGAAGGCGATTTCTACTAAACACTACTCCTCCGTTAGTAATGGACGGATTTTTACAAAAGACGTGTCAAAATAAAGTATTTTTTTGTAGACGCCCCCTTTCACAAATTCCTGTAATAAAAGTCCTCGGGCTTTGCCCCACAGGCCATCAAAGTTGGGTATTCTCCCATAAGATTAACATGGGGGAATCTAATTATTTAATTTGAAACTTTGTCCCCACTAATTTGAGAGGACGGCTGGGCGTAGAAACTTGGTAGAGGTGTCCAAAGAAAGGTCTTGATCTGTAAATGAGTTATCAAAAGAAAAACTAAGCAAAATCCCTTAGGACTCTGCCCCAGAAGCCTTTAAAGATCCCTCCACAGAGTTGTTTACATTTTGGCCTTGTAAATAATACTTTTTAATGAAACAGCTGTTCATTTTTAAATTGTATTTCAAACAACACACATATTAGTCCAGTCAAGTTAAACACCCGTGCGTGCAAAAGGTCATGTAGTTCTAGTTTTTTAGTATGTTGTTAGGACCTATACCACAAATAAGAAACCAAGTTTGCAGCCTCGAAAGACCTGTGCTACCAGCATAGTAGCCAAAAAACCGTAAAAATCAGACACTTTTTTCACTTTTTGCTGAATATCTTCTCAAGTATGCCTCTAACAGAAAATAATGCCTTATCCTGTCAAAACAGTATAAAATTTTCTAAAGTTTGAGACTATAACGACTCCAATACGTCCATTATCAATGAATCTACAACGCTTTAAAAACGATAGAAATCTTCAAAAAAATTAAAAAGTTTAGTCATGGTCTATTATTTTGTGTCATATTGTTAAAAGTACTCATAGAAAAAAAATCTATATGAAATTAAAGGAAAGATAATTTAATTAGCTTTCATTTTGTACCACAGCAAGCACTTATAGACCCAATGGTTCATTCAAAAACAGCAGATAACATAGAACATGAAAAACGGATGTTAGAACTAGTATAAAATTATTTATCAATATCACAGTTTATTCTTCTGTTGCATGTAACCCAATCAGCTGTTAGTTGGTGATATTAATATAAACCAGCTGATCAGCTGTTACTATTTATTATTTCAATTGTTAAAGTTTATTTAGTTTTAGTGATGGTGTTACTTTTATTTTGCTAGAAGCAGAGCTTGGTTTAAAAAAATGATTTGATGTGATATGTCTATTCCTACAAGCGTTTGTTTTGTGTGCCTTAGGGCTCTAGATAAAGACCCTGTCATAATTGTTAAACAACGTGGTATTCGAGCACTTATAGACGCGAGTGCAAAACGTGGCCTCACGCACGGAAAATTTAACTTTTCTTCGTCCGCTTCATGAAGTCACCATTCATGATGCATGTAGAAAAAGATATACTGTTGTGAGCAATGTGGAAGCTGCAGTACGTAGACGAGGGGATTCTATTCCACAAACAACAGTATCTACTAGAGTGTGCCGTGTTATAGTATAGTTTCGTCGCTCACGGCACGAACAATTGTCAATTCACTCTACTGGGTTGGTAACACTCCAGTTGAGAAGGCGGAATCAGCAAACTGAACTGAACTGAACTGTTTTTTTTCCCTTCTGTGTAATTTTGGGATCGAGAGAAGCTACGCAAACAAATCTCTCTTTTCCTTCTCATCGTTTCTAGAAGTTTTTTTTTGGGTGAGAGTCAAATGAAGAATCGTTTTATGTCCGGTAAGCCCTGTTCATCGTTCTCTTTCACGATACTGACGGCGGAGAAGACACATGAAATTGCCTTTTGAGCAGAATAATGGCGAGAAGTTTCGTCAAGTTTAGTTTGGTGTCTCAGTCGTACGCTTTGGACTTCAAAATGAAGCATTAAAAACATATCTACTGGGGCTCCCGGAGCGCACCAAATCATGCTACCCACAACCTTGACGACTCCAACATAAGCTGACCTAGCGGAACGGCCAGCACCCCACACTCTGTCAGATGTTTCGAGGGCCTGTGCCACGATGGGTCTGATCATGAAGCAGTGTCGGGCAGGTGTCGGCTGATCTGGGAACCCGCTGGCTCCGCTGCCCTGCTCTCCAGAGTCAATTCTTCACTTCTACACTAAGGTCATTTACAACCATTTTTAAGCATGCAACAGGATCATCAATCAAACAACAGTTACCTAGATACTCAATCTATAACGCCAAACCGACTTTAATTTTTTCAACTGCAGTTTACCTTGAATCAACATTTAAATTTTGTACCGGCCTATTTCCAATTCTGTTTTAAAGAGTTTTACTCATAGACTGGTTATTCTGACATCAGGTTGGGGATCTTTTCCCTATTTATCCTCTTGGAGTAATTTCATTTTGGGGCAGTGCTGGAAGTGGGGACTGGACTTATGCTGAGCGGACCAGTGGAAAGTGCGATAAACTCGAAACCCGATCTCAACTATGTTGATCTAAAGCCTTCGGAATTAATCTGTCTATCTAAGGAAACTATTTTAAATTTAGGCCTAACCTACCTTGATTAATATATCATTTTATTTAAAATGAAAAAAAAAAACACAAAACAAAAAATGGATTGTCGTTAAGGGATATGATCTTGGTGGCTCGGTTATAGTTTAGTTTTAAATTCATTGTAACTGTGTACTGTGTTTATTGTAAATTTGTCTGGTATGATTTCATGTTCAATTGTTAAATTTAATTATTCATGCTCTTAGATTTGTACCAGGCTATTAAATAGGCCCATCCTTGATTCTTGTTTTAAATTCCTTGTAATATTTCTTTTAGGGCAGGCTGGACTGCATTTGTCTCAATTTTCTTTAATTTCAAATCTAACTGGATATCTTGTTAAGTTGTTCACTTTTCTTAGGCCTATCTAAAAGTAACTACTTCTTATGAATTCGTATTTTGATATGTAGGCCTAACTTGTATTTCTGACTACACTTTGATTTTCATGTAACTTGTTTCTTGTTTTGTAACCTCATTTTGAACTTGTCTCTTGACTGCTTCCATATAAATTTGTAAATGCCTAGTTGTAATTTTGTAAATATGTGTTTTTTTTTCTAAAAGGGTCAAGTACTACCAGTGAAAGCGTACTTGCTAATTTGGGTTCTATTAATGTTTTACCTGAGATTATCAGGGGGTCTGATATGCAGCGCATATTATTGATTTATTATTGATTATTATTATTATGATTATTGATTAATTGTTTAGTTATTGGATATTGATTACGGAATATTGTTCACTCTTGATTATTGATTGATGTATTAAAATTGTTTAACTTCTATTTCTGGAATTTTATTTCTTGTCATCCTGGCATCGCACTAGGCAATTGGGAGTGACCAATGAGTTTCTGCTGGGCCTCTTCTAGGCATGCTACAAGAGCATCAAGTTGTATCCGTTCGACCTTACACAGTATTTATTTATTGTGCGGTGAAGACATCACTGAAGACTTTATCAAGCTTCAACAGAAACTACCACTTTCACGAAGAAATCTGGTCCATAGAGTTGAGCAATTGGGTGCAAGGAAAACAGTGCTTGATGCAGCGCAACGCCGAGGGGATGAGTGGGGTAAGGAAATTGAACTACGCCTCTCTGTTAATGAGGATGACTTGGTAGCTGCTAAAGCGAGATATCATAGTATGTGCTATAAAAATCTATTCTC